ATTTCTTATTAAAATCATAAATTTTTATATAGAGAGAAAATTTCAATTTTCACTATGTTTTATTAGTAAATTTAGCCTCTGAGTCATTACTTTTGGTCATCACTATATATAATTTTAAATAATAATTATTTTATTATAATATTTATTTAAAAACTTAAAATTTAAAATAAAATTAAGATTAATATAAATATAATAAAATAAATTTTATAATCTAATAATTTTTAAATTAAGTAAAAGAAATTATATTTTAAAAAAAATTATTAAATTTAATATTTAAATTTTATAAAAAAATAAAAAATATTATTATTAAATTATTAATAATTAAAATAAAATTATTTAATCTAATAAATTATAATTTTTAATTTAAATAAATATAAATATTACTAAAAATATAATAATAAATCTCTAAAAGAATATTATATAAAATCTATAATAAATTTAAGAATAAAAATATAATAATTTATAATTACTTAAATTTTTTAATATAAATAATATTATAATTATATAAATAAAAAATTATATTATAAAATCTTAAAAAATAATTTTTTAAAATAATTTAATAATATAATATTAATAAAAATAATATTATTTTTTAATAAGATAATAATTCAAAATATATAATAAATTCTATATAAATAATTTAATAATAATATTATTTACTTAATTAATTAGTTTAATCTTAATTTAATTAAATATTTTTAAATAAAATAAATTTTTATTTATAAAAATTATTTCTTAATATTCATATTTAAAATTAATTTTATAATATAATTTAATAAATTTGAATTAAAATAAATAACTTTTTAATTATTTTAATAAAAAAGTATAAAGAAATATATTCAAAATAGTATTAATAAAAAGAATAAATATACTAAATAATAAAGAATAATTAGTTAAAATTTAATAAATTTTTATTTATTTATTATTTAAAATTCATTATTTTTATTTATATAATCAGAATAAGCAAAAAAATTATATAATTTAATATAAAATAAAGAGATTTTTTAAAATTTAAATAAATAAAATTAAAATTAATATATAAATTTTTTTATTTTTAATAACTTAAATAAGTCTAATTATATATAATTCTGATAAAAAGTAATAATAATTAAATTTATTTAAAAATAGAATTATTTTATATAATAATTTTATTTAAAATTTTATTTATATAATATATACAATTAAAATATTAGATCTTAAAAATATTAATATTTTATCTATTTTTTGTTTATTTTTTATTCAATAATTTTATTTTTTTAAAAATTAATAAGTAGATTTTCATTTATATATTTATTTTTATATCTTAAGATATATATAATAATTTTAAATAGTATTTTAATAACTATAATTATATTAGCTAAATAATTTAATTAATTACTTAAAACAGATTTCTTAATATATTTTTTGAAATATTAAGAATTATTTGTAAATATTCTAATTTAATATAATTGTAAATAATCTTTAATATTATCTTAGAAAACAGATATTTATACATCAAGTAATATTGTTTAACTGATTAATTTACACTTATAATATAGATTTCAGTAGAATAAATATTTTCTGTGATTTTTAATATTAACTTAATAGCCATCTTGCCGTTACTTTCTGCCAGAATTGTATTATTTAACATTATGTAGATGAAATTATTGTATTATAAAATTTATCTTTCAAGTAATATTTCATTACTATATAATTATAATGTAGAAATAAATACTATTTAATAATTATCAATATTTTTACAATATAAATCATGTGAATTTTAAGAAATAAACTAATAAAATCGCAAGATCAATCGAAGATAAGAAATATAATAGCATTTTAATTATGATTAATATTATTTTGCCAAGAAACATTTTTTTTATCAGAGTATAGAAAGTATTTTCATAGATAAAATTTTAAAAATAATAGTTAATTACATTCCCTTCCGAAAATGGATCGTGAGTCAGGCCAATCACGTGAACGGAAAATGTCACCCTCGTACATTTTACATAATATAGATAAAAGCTTCATATTATAAATGGCGGAATTTATGTCTTAATTTTACAATATCAAAAAATATGATCCGGTTGGGAGTTCTTACAATATAGTTTTTTCTCTTACAATATTGATAAGTTTTTTCTGCATGCAAGCATTTATTATTCTTGATAATGAAAAACTGCTTGCTTGATATCAAATAAATCGATGATGTCCCTGCAAGTGGATAAGAAGGATATGGTAGAGTGCCAGTTTTCATAAATACATGCTGGTGCGATTGTCACAACACGTTCTCTGAACTGAGCAACCATCATATGGCCTTCTATATCTATCAATGGTCCCAAATTCGAGCTACAAAAATAAATAATAAAGCAATGATGTGAGTTAGTCAATTAACATAAAATATGTTGATTCATACCATTTGAACTGGCTGGAATCTTCCTTGTGCTTGACCTGCATAAAAATGAAGTGAGCTTACAAAATAATACTGAACTGTTAAGTGACGCAAGGGGTGCCTATTCGTATCCTTCCTGCGATTCCATGGCCATAGTTTGAATACTATCACATCCTCTGACCGGGACAAACCAAAACGAAATAACTTTCTGGAGTATATGTGAAAAACTTTGGAATCAGGCAACCTCAAAAACAACAGTTGGTCAGGGATTACCTTACATGCCAAGGTTGTTATTCATATTTTCGAATTCTGCGTTGCTAACACGATTAAAAGTGCATACCTGAGCATCACTTGGATTAGGAGATGGCATAGATAAACGATTTGGAGAAATGAAGCATCTGCTTGTTGTGCAGATCTTCGGTCCAAACCAAAACAAGCTGGATACAACAGAATTAAATTCAGCTAATGAAAATATATACACAAACAATTAAAGAGTACATACTTTTCGTTCCGATATTAGAAACGCAGTTTTGAAATGGTAGGCGGAAATGAGGATCGGCATGCACAGTTTCATGATCACCGTTCGACAATTCTTATATGATCACAACGCCATTATCAAACTCGCAAAATCTTCCTGCGTTCGCAACTTCACTTTTCTTCTCATAATTACGATATGTTACGTTTTCTACGAGACGCACAGGCAGTCTAATAAGACAAGCAAGGCTTCAACATGGTAAATAGGAAACGGATGATGCACTATGAGTACTATCTTCCGATCCACCATTTTTTTTCTTTATCGCTAGTCTTATTGATAATATTGACGTCTCCTGTTTCGATAGCTTCAATGCATTTCATAAAAGCCTCCTCATTGGTAGAACTTGGCTGTGGTGGCCTTGTAGTTCGAGATAAAGAATTTAGGGTTGAAGTTGGAGAAGATTCCTCGTCCTTTGATCTGTTACACGCACTTTTCATAAATCTTTTCTAAAGTTGGTAAATCAATCACATAGTCTATCCAATCAATTTTAACAAACTTAAAGTAACTTTTTGCCAAGCTACATGAATGAAAAAATCATGCGACTAGAAACGATAATGTATAGGAACAGCGCTGAATCAGGCGATCTTCCCGGGCCAGTGTCGGATAAATTTATAATCGGTGGATTATAGGAATGCATAAATCTGTCTTGAACTATTAAGTAAAAGTGTCGGGAAGACAATTTTACATATCCTGTCTCTAATCGGCGTCATAAAAATTCAGAATTCAAATTAGGAAATTTGGGATTAGGGTTAGGGTTAGCGTCAACGTTAAGGTTATATCGAAGAGATTTATTTCAAAATATAAGAACTTGCGATTTAATTGGTTTTGTTATCGTAGATATAAATTTAGGCGCTGGCCCGGAAAGATCACTTAATTCAGCACTGTCCTTATTGAAAATCAGGAGATTGAGCAGCAATCACATATTCACCGTGACTAGATACGCATTTACTTATTTTGACGCGAATTTTTCCAGAAACCAATAAGAATGCATAAATCTTCGCAAAAAAAATCCGACACCGAAAAATGAAAAATACAGAAAACAGATGCTTGAAGTACTAACTAAAAATAAAATCTTGATCATAACGTTATTAAAATCACTTACAGTAGAATTTCGGGATCGACAAAATCTGTGTGAAAATTGCTGATTCTTCACATTCTTTAATTTCTTGAAGCAAGAGTTTTGGAACCGATTAAATTTTATAATTTATCGCTATCGCCACCACACGTGATTTTGCGATCGACCAATCAAATTTATAATACTTTTTGTATAACAAATTAGTTACCGCTGAGGGTGGGGTAGGATTAGGGGTATAGAGCATCAAAAGCTATGAATTCGTCTGAAATCGGCAGAATCCAGAATTCCTCTAGTACAATATAATCTTGCTATTTGTTATGAAAATGGTCAACTTTGGATATTAATATCTCAATCAAATTTAACGAATAGTACCAAAATGTTAGATGAGCCTATGTTCGCAAGATCTGGATTACAAATATCGGCATTCAAAAAAGTACATATTTCGCGCGATACACGTGACTCATGATCTCGCGATTTTATTGGTAGATCACAAAATCACGTGTATAGCGATACAGAAACAAAAATTTATAAATTTAGAGTGTACCATTTTATTTCTTTACATATTTTGCGTGACAAAAGTCAATCATCTTAAATCTTGAGTTACTAATGATTTTTTTCTGTTGTTTTTCCTGAGTGAAAACAACGTTATTATTTAATAAATTATTATCAATACAATTATATTATTAGGGCTAAACCAGAATTTTATAATATAATAAGTGCACGAAAATAGGATTGTGCACGAGAATAGTTAGATATACCTTATGTAATTTTGTGGTTTTTATGATGATGGATGTGTAGTTTTTGCAGTTGATGAGACATTGGGTTGGTGAGAAGAATAGTATATATCTTAATGAACGTATAAATTGAAAGTTGCTTCTTTTGTAAATCGTAATGAAAACTTTTATTAAATATTGAGTGGAGCGATAATAGAGTTGGGCGCCTAAACTATTTCAATAGTTTCGGTTATAATCTTAGGTTTCGGGACTATAACCTAGGCTATCGATAGTTTCGGTGTCCAACTTTAGAACGATAATTGTTTTTGTGGTGTGTCCATTTTTTGTAGCTTTTCAACCAATCAAATCGCAGGATCAATAAACGTATCTAATAATAACATACTCCTTACGAAATTTTACTGTCCTTGCCGCAAAAAAGTTCATAGGCGCGTGGGATCGATAATGAAATATATTGTGTTCTACAACGATGTTTACGATTATATCAGATGCTTTCGATAAACCTTTTATTATTTTAATATATCCCAAAATTTTAATTTTCATAACGAATATAGTTCGATTAACGTTAATAGTAAAGATAATCGAATCGTAAACAGTAAGACTTCAAATTAATGTTGTGACAATAACGTCAGCGTAATTAACATCAACAGCTATTAAATCTTCGATAAATCGAATTTATTGAGTAAACTAAATTCTTCAAATTTTTATTAATAGCATAGAGCACTTCGGTTTGACTGGATAAGAGGAAATTTACACTAATATGATCTAAACATGGTTCAACCCAAGACACATTTGCAATGATCACGTTCTTTAATAATAAATTACATATTATAAAGTAAAGTTAATTTTTTATATGGTTTTATTTTTTGGAAATCAAAGTATTCGATTGTATATGAACCCAATGAAGCTTTCAAGTTTCCAACCAGTTTTCTGGAATAAGAAATTTACGCCATTCAAGAACAGCAACCAGTAAGTCTAAAATCAGCAATGAAAGCAACAACAATTCCTCTTGATGAATGTTGCATAAATCCAATAATTTGATTTTTCTTCCTGGAATTGCCACTTCGATTATTCATTTGTAAACCTAACGTAAGAATGATCTATGACCTATTTTTAAAGAATCACTGTTAGAGATCAAATCAATTTACACCAACTGATTGATTTTAAGACAATTTTAACCAAGCTCAAAAACTTGTTCAATAAAAAAGTAAATTGCGAATAGCATTTGGGTGGAGATCGGTTACGTTTGTTAGTATATAATGTTCCGGCATCATAAAACGTTTGGTGGGTATGATTTTTCTTAAAAATACTAGTCGAATTTAGTGCCAATGAACTTGTGGAGGATAACAAAACTATTTTTATCCATGAACAAAGATATTTAACCTTAGATTATACGACGTTATTAAAATCAACAAATCAGATCGAGGTACCAAGTATTTATATCGATATAATTCTATTATTAGAATTTGACCAGCCCATAATGCTATGTCAAGTCGACCTTTTTTCGGGAACAAAGTTGCCGTTTTCGATTGACTTTTCGCATGTGATACTTTCGGAATAGGCAATGAAAATTTTGATACATAGGCTCGGAGAATGATGTGATTCGTTTGTTGTTTTTTTAATTAATTAATTAAATTTGAACATATATACTATAAATAAGATAATTTATTGTATACCAGATTCGAAACACACACGCCCCCAAGATATGCAAGTGTATGTAAAACTTTATGTATGCACGCAGATTCGTGCAATGTAATTACGTGTTAATTAATTAGGGTTGAATTAAGTGTGACTGTTCGAGATTGTTTCTATACAGAAGAGCTATCTTTTTTTTATACTTTAGTGGTGTTTCTAAATGAGTCTAAAGACATTTCGAAGATCTTAATTCTGTCTGGTTTGATGCTATTATTTCATGGGTTTGATTCATAATTCGTTGCATTCATTCCTTTTAATACAGAAAATAAATTTTTCAAAAAAATACAAATCCAACAATTAACCTTTCGTAAAAAGAGTAAAAAGAAGAAAAATATTCTCTCAAGTTCCTATTTCATTCAATATGTATCTATCCTATCTTCCACTCACTAATTTTTAAAGTACCAATTATTTTTATCACATTCTCTAAATTCAAGCGTTACACTAAATAGCCTTATACACGTATGTATTCATTGCAGTGTATTATCATTGAATTTAACACCAAAAAAATTTCATACAGCAATCAATCAGTCACATTAATTAATCATTGATTGATTCAACGATAAAATGAAAAAGAACGAATCAAAAAAATTTTTTTACTAAGGATCAAAAGAGAAATAGAGGGCTGCGGGAGAGTGATGAGAGAATGAAAAATCTAGCGTGTCTGTCTCTTCGTTTACTCATTGTTGTCTCTTCTTTATATATGCTCGTTGTCGTTGACATAATACTGTGCTACTAAAATTGTCGATTTTTTCTGTTTTCAACAATAAGAGAAGTAGAATCAATTTATTTTATTGCACTACGCTCTATACATCAAATAGCATACATACAGAGTAATATCGCTCTACATAAATATTAATAATAATCTATAATAAATACATTGAAAACACTGAAACTCTAAGATCTTTTCCTCCTTTTCCTTTTTTCCTCTTTCCCTTCTCCTCCTCCTCTTTCCCTCTTTCCCTTCTTGGGTTAACGCTACCTTAGACTCGCACACCACTACTTTTTTCACCTTGCAATCATTTCTTCTCTCTCGCCGAAATTTTTTTTCTACCATTTAATCAATCTCACTAATACTATCCTATTTACGCCAGAAAAATACGCTCGCAACAGACAATATATTTATATATATATATATATATACATTTTTATATTTATATACTTATTCATATCAAAAGTAATTTTTTAAATAGTAATATACTAACCTCTCGCCGAGAGCAAGAGAAGTGTATTAAAAATATTTTTCATTTTATTATTTTCGGCAGCCTAAATTTACTTTTGCTTCTCTTTTTATTCCCATTTAAACAAAAAATATTAACTTTATTTCATATTATTATTATCATCATTGAACGTCTATAACGATAAGGTAAGGTAATATTCAATTATTTAATTCGCGCGTGCGAGTGTTTAAGAAAAGTGGTTAGTCTTCTTTCTTTTCTTTAAGCCTAATTATGAGAGAAAAGTGGAAATGAATTGGAAAAGACTTAGAGATTCGAGAATCATTTTAGAAATTGCCGAAACGTGAACCAGTTTTCGGGCATAAGATAATTTTTAAAAAGGAAACATGTGAATCTGAATCTGGATCCAATCCTCAATTCCCGCTCTTTATTGCTATTACCATTATTGGTGATTTGAGTGAAGATCTTTAATCTTTAATTCTTTCTTTCATCTCATTCTCTTAATTCAATAACTTTACTTGTCGTCGCAAGATCGACGACAACTCAAAACGTATTCCTCTTTCATCTGTTAAATATATCTCATTTATATTATTTAAAACGCGTATTTCATTTTCGGTTTTTGGCATAGGAGGGGAGAAGACAAGATTATTTGATAGTAAGAATAGAGAGAGGTTACTTTGACAACTACATCCTTGCGACGAGTGATTCCCTTCCACCAACCACTTTTCTTAAACTTCACACTCTCGCACACATCAATTAGTGATAGCTCTTCTCTCATTGTCTCTACTAACAATCATATTATAAATTTCGTAATTTTTAGACACTTAATGTGAATACGACAATTAATTAACGGACTCTAATTGCATTAATAATAAACACGTCGCTAGGTCGACTATTCATTAAAAATAGAACAGCATCTAATTAGTTAGCATATACACAAAATACACACATACATACACGTATTTTTATATCATACACATCATAGAGGAAGCGAAAACAAGGGCATTCGTGGATAAATAATGATCATATCAATAAAACAACTTTCATCAGAACACTATCAGATATTATAATCTTAATCATAGGCAAATAGTCACAGTCAGAATAATTATTTTAACCTGATCACGAAGAAAAATGAAACTATTATTAACAACACCATTACGAAATTTGCAATGTCTCGTGTGGGCCTTGCTGGTCTTGGCTGTTTTGGTTCATTCGGCACCACAGGCTCCTTCGTCTGGTGCCCCCGCCACTACTGCTGCTGCTTCTAGCACAGGTATTTGATGTTTTGTTTTGCTTTGATAATATATACTATTTTATTATAGTTAATTTGTTGGTGCCGTTCGATCATTCAAAAATCGACATGACACGAAACAACATGATCAAAAATGAAATAGTTTTAATACAAACTTTCTTAGTGTCATCAAACAAATCTCCTAAACATATTCTTCTAACAATATTCCTACAGATCCTTCACAAACAGCAACAGCATTATCGACTGGTTCTACACCTGTCCAAACAAACACTGCTTCCGCAGCGACATCACCCGCTTCTACTTCTAACGTAGCCACACCATCAGCTCCAAGTGCTGCCCCACCACCATCATCACCACCACCAACTCCCTCGTCTCCAGATAATTCAGGATCAACAGCTGGAGCGCAAAATTCACAGTCACCAGTCGTAACAGTAGTAGTCACCAAAGAAACATCTACTACGGTTGTAGCCAAAACAGCCAGCACGATAACCACAATTGATCAAAGTCCAACAGTGACCACCACTTCAGTCAACAATCCCACTTGTTTTCCTGATGCGCAGATTCCGGGAAAACTGGTTTGCGCCGATCCGACGTTGTATTGTGACAACACGAGTGGCCTTTGCGTGGCGAAACAAGAAAACAATCTCCCTTGCAGCGACGAGAGCCAGTGCAAATCTGGAGCTTGTCTAAATAGTGTTTGTGCCGACAATACAAACAATACCAATCCCAATGCTCTTAATGGAAATGATAACTCTGGAAACCCTGGCGTAAAAGTTGGGATTGTGGCTGGAATCGTGGTTGGAATAATGTGCGCAATCGGAATCGCTTTCTGGTTATTTAATTATTTGCAAAGACGTAAAATGAACAATGGTTCACGTTCTAGTCTTGTTAAACCGAATTATTATGATAATGCTGACGCTGATGAGTTTGGTGGTTATCCAGCATCTAAGCATCCCGAAGAGATGCAATCAATGTACCCATTTTCAGGTCAATCTGCTGCATTCTCAAATACTAGTCCTCCGCAAACTTTGCCACCTGCACCACAAGTACGCAATCATACACGTATAGGAAGTATGGGTGATCCTACTCAACGCCGTACAAGCTTCTATTCAAACGGAGCATCATTCAACTACAACAACGATGCTTTTGACGGATCTAAAAATAATTTTAGTATCTCTCGTGGCACACCAGTCCCCAACAACATGGACAATAATGAAAATAAGCAACTACCACAAATACCACCACAGGCACACAGTTATCGTCCTTCTTTTTCAAACGATTTGGACCTGTCTAATAATAGGTACCCGGCAATTGGCGAGTCGCCCCAGAATCAACAACCGCAACATAAAAACAATAATAATAATATTCATCATCGAATTAGTGATCGATTGTCAAAGTATAATTATCTTGCAAAAGCGTTCTTTAATATGCGCACATCGCTTGATAATTCAGCATCGCGTAATAATATTGCCAATAATGACTATGATAGCAACAATGGAAATGCCAGCATGCGTTATAATAATAGTAATAATGCGCCCATGTCAAACGCAACAAATATGACTGTTGCCGATGCTACCATTCGACAACAAAAACCATTAACACAATCACCACCGCAACAGCATACGAAATCCAATTCCGAATACTCTATAAAACCAAGCAACGTGAATGTTGTATATAACGTGGCAAGCCCTCAACAAGGCAGAGAGTTGCGTAATAATTTACATGAAGCCGCGAAAGCCATTCAAGAACAAGAAGACAAATTGAAAAGGGGCATTGCTGCAACAAATGATTCAAAGAAATCAAATCAACAGGATTCTGCACTCCGTGATTCGAATATATTAGCAGGTGACGAACAGGATGAAATTGTACATTCCACTACTGACTCGATGTATTTAGGTGTCGGAGCTGATGTGCTAATGGAACCGGTTGATTATACATCACCAACCGGTAATGGTCGATATAAAATGTCCTCAATGTATTCAACTTTCTCGCGGGATTCAATTCTTTTTTCAAATTTTACAAATATGCCGGATGTGCCAGCGATGCCTCCCCTCAGTTCGTTGAATGGTAATTTGACTGGTGGTACCATATCTTCGACCTCCGTCTTACCAAAGCCAGCACCCTCTGCCAAAACCCCATCACATAATCACACTTTATCAAAAGATTCTGATATAATCTCACTTAACAAAGTTCCTCGTGCATCTGTGTACACATTACACGCGCCAATTTTCAAATCCTATCAATCATCGCCTGAACATCAACGAAACATGTCTTCGTCTTCGTTACGGTCTCAAATCGCTCATCAACGAAATATGTCTCAGGCCTCGCAAACATCTTCGATATCGCGTCATCAACGTGATTTCTCAAATGCTTCACAGGTGTTCAACCCATCACCGTTGAGTCAAGGTCAAGGTCATTCACGCAATCTCTCGAAATCATCACAATTGAGTGCTGCTAGTAAATATAGTCAAAGCAGTAGCATCTATAGTTCTGCTAATTCCGCTGATTCCGAAACATCCTCCAACTCGAAGAAATCAGCTTCCCCAACTTTTGGTGTTAGTGCAAACAATACGACATCATCAAAGACCCTCAATAATAACTTTACCAATATTACCAATAACAACTCACTTTCAACAAAACCTTACAATATCAATCGTGAATCAACCTCATCGATATCCGGAGCCTCCGACCTCACATCAAGCACTACCGAAGCGGAATACGACTACTTAGTTCCAGAGATGAGCACCATCGAAGAACGCATGGCCGAGGATGAATTATACGCTATGTCACACGCGTCGAGTTATTCAATAAGAACAAGTGAATTGGATCTTGACCACGATTTAGACGCGATCCGACAATTTGCCGAAAATGCTTGGGGCACGTTAAATGGCGGAATTGATACGTCGAGTAGTAGTGGGAAAAATAGCAACAACGGCACGTTTTCTACCAATATGCTGTCTAGGAGCACTAGTCACTTGTCGAAATCTTCGACAGAGTCTACGGCTACTGTTACTGCTCGTCCATTGGTTGGTGGTAATAATACTATTGATTATAGAATACCTATTTCTGAGGATGAAGAGGATCCTGATTATCGGTTTTATTAAACGGTGATTTTGGGTAAAAAGATTGTATGAACATCTTTTATTATTAACATGGACTTATTTCCGAGATCAAAAGAACGCACACATATTAATAATACAACATCTCTTAATTTCTCGATCTATCATCCCTTTTTTTAACACACTGGTCGAACTTTATGTGCGCATATAACGAAAAATAATAAATTAATCTTTTTCCCTCGCAACAAAACTTTGTATTTTTATTCACGATTATTTCTAAATTATTACTCAATCTATATTTATCTCCTTTCTGTAGATTATATTATCTTTGAAAAGTGTAATTTGTTACGGTGTAACAATATTAATGATAGGGTGTAATGTTTTGTCATTGTCATGTAATATTTATTAATTATTAAAAGGAAAACCAACAATGATATTTTGCCTAATTTCAACGATTTGACTTTTCTGAGAAGATATTCTTTAGAAAGTTTATAAACAATGATAGACGGAAAAGATTACCGTAGCGCACTGATTAAAAGACACCCTGGGGGCGTGAGATCTGCGGACAATTTCGTCAAACATACTTTTAAATCCGCGTATCGAATAACAGTGTTGGGTTTTGTACTTGCAGACTACATGTACTTAGAAGAGAGATGCGGTTGGGTGACGGTGGATTATGGCTTCGCAAATAGTGTTCAAGTTCGATTTCGAACTCGAACTCAGATTTTTAAGTTCGAATTCGAGGCAAGCATATTAGTAAAAATTGTAGCCCTAAAATAGGGATACAATTTAGTTTTGTAGCTCTAGTTGAGTACTACAACTTCATTTAATAGTATTTAATATTTAAAATTCAAAAATTTAAAATAATTTTTTATTTTTAATAAAATCATTCATTTTTACATATAAAATCTATTAAATATTATTAAGTAAAGTTATAATTCTTAATTAGAGCTACAAAACTATAGAAGATATTTATAATAATAATTGCTATATAGAGAATATTTTAAAATTATAATTTAAAGAATTTATTAAATAATACATATTTTCATAAATAACAATTTTTTATTATAGAATATCATAATTCTAGTTGATTATTTAGCTTTTGAAAATTCTTTTATTAGAAGAAATAGCAGATTTTTTTATATATTCTTTTATTAATTCAAGTAATCAAAAATTAAACTATGGTTTGAAAAGATTAATATTAATAAATTTTGAATAATTAATTCAATAATTTTTTTAGTAAAGATTCTAAGTTCTTTATAATTTACAAATCTAAGAATAAGAATAAATAATATATCAATTATATTTGATAAACTTACTAAAATAAAAGGATTTAAAAAAACATAAAATTTAATATAAGACTTAATCTATTTATAAAGTAATTAAAATTCAAGATATCAAATTTTTACAAATAATTTTTTTATTATCTGAAAAAGTGAATTCATAATTTTTAGAATTTTATATTAACATTAAATATTAAACAAAAAAATTAATTTTTATTAATATATTTATAAATATTAGATATTTTATAAAGTTTAATATATAATAAATCTGAATATAATAAAGTAATTTATTTTGTTACTTTTTTTTAATATATTTAGATTTTATTATATTCAAATTTTACTATATTTAAATTTTCTTTTTATAAAAATATCTTATATAATTTTCTTATAACTTTATTTTATTAATATATTTATAAATATTAGATATTTTATAAATTTTAATATATAGTAAATTTGAATATAATAAAGTAATTTATTTTGTTATTTTTCTTTAATATATTTAGATTTTATTATATTCAAATTTTATTATATTTAAATTTTCTCTTTATAAGAAAGTCTTATATAATTTTCTTATAATTTTATTATAAATAAATTAATAATATATTATTTATATTATCTATTAATTTTGATATAATAATAATAAATTTTAAATTAAAATAAATTTGTTATAAATTAGCTAGTATTATATATTAAATATTATATATTTTTTAAGAATAATTTATCATACTAATTTTATATTTATTTGAAAGATTTTTTTAAATTAAAATAATAGAATTATTAATATTTAAATTTTTTATATAATATATGCAAGTATATTTTCATAAATTAATAATATTTCAGAGTTTATTATAATTTATTCTTTAAAAAATTCTTCTTTCTTTAATATTTTAATTCTTGAAAATTTTATTGGAGAAAAATTTGGAATATTAAAAAAACTTTGTTATAGTTGAATTTTATTCAAATTTTGTTATATTCAGATTTATTATATAAAGTAATTAATTATCATATAATCTTTTTTATTATTCAATTATATATTAATAAATCTCTTTAAATTGGTATATCTCTATCTCTAAAATACTATATTATTTTTATTAGTAAAGCTGATATGATTATTAGATTTAAGCTAATATTTATAATATATATTTTTATGAAAAAATTTATAATTAAGATCTGTTAATTTTTTAAGAATTACAAGTGTATCAGTAAAAGTTTCGTCTGTGTCTATCATTTGAAGACCATTCAGCACGATCTCATAATATTTAAATTATAAATATTAGGTTCGCTAATAGATTGTTGATACATGTAACTCATAAAGCTCGTACCTTGAACATCAGATATAACAAATTTCTTGGCTGATGCTCCAAAGAATTTCACTTTCAGTGCCTCCATATCTCGCATTTTGAACTTAGATGCCGAAGAAGGGAGATCCTCTAAAACATAACTAGCACTGGAACTGGAACTAAGTCTGAGATTAGTAGGTTCTCGCAAGCACCAAGTCTTCTCTGGATAATCTACTTCTTATCGTTAAGCTGAATAACTTCTCCTTAAGGATCAGGTGAGCAACTTCTGTTTCTGATAAATATAATGGTTCCTAAGTTGCAATCTTAAAATCCAGAAATCACCCGTTATGTAAACTATATATTGAGGACGAGCCTTACGTGTCATCAGACCCCGGGTTTGTGGTAAGATGCAAAAAATTGTTGTTCTTGTGGTAGAGGTCTGTACGTTGTTGTCATTGACAGGTTATTATTTTCGTCGTCTCAAACAACTTCTTTAAAAGGACAAACACTTGGGAAAGCGAGACCTAGAGATCAGATAATATGGGCCATTCGTGTGATCTCTACATATGCTACTTTTTATAAGGTTGCGATTACTGCAACATATTGGATGGAACTTGCAAACGGCCTACCGAAAGGAGAGTCAGTTGAGGTTCAAGGCTGGCCAGCTGAGAATGGTTTGACGACTGGTTTCGATCTCGCTGAACCAGGAGGAAGATGAGCAGTGTTGAGATCATTAGCCAAAATTCGTGAAACACTTTTACAGGAAGAAGAGGAAGGCAAAGGAGAGGAAAGTGAAGAGGCCCCTTCACCTTGAGTTGCGAATTCTTCTAATGAAAATAGAACCATCCTTAATGTCAATTGAAACTCTCTGATGCAATTCATATTAGATAGTTTTTTTGTTAAGCTAGATAATCTTTTCACCGACTGAAACGTAGATAAATTTAATCTCGTGTCATGTTCCTATAATTGTTTGTTAATTCCACGAACTTGATTGCAACGATATAACTCTACTCACATTTCTGTAATAATAAATGTTTTGAATAAACCAAATTATAACGTAAAAAGGTCTTTTTTCTGTCGATATTGAGCACTGAAATATTGCGTTGCAGGTGTATGCCGTCATCTTTGCTCAAGCTGCATTATGATGGTATCCACATCCTTTTCGTTTTTAATATGAAGTAGCTGCTCTAAATTGCGATGCAATTATTTTCTATGATGGGAGGTTATTTGGTGAGTTCCTTGTAATCTTCGTATTCTGGTTTTAGATCAAATCAATTAGATTTCTTTTATTATATGCTGGTTATCTTGATGCAATGGGACAAACTTTGAAATATAATCGAATTCTTAGAAAACTATGCTTTGAAGACGAGTTTCAAGTATATTAATTAGTGTCATTGGAAAGCAAAATAAGAAGCGAAATATCGCTCGCTGGTCGTTTATATGCATTCAATTATTACAAGATCTAAACAATGGAATTTATTCGAAATCCCTCAGCATGATTAAATAAAGTTTGGAATTTGATACAATTGTTGTCTCGATTAGGAGTTTACTTAACTGTTTGAAATTACTAAAAATTGATATAATTAGTATTCCCTTAATTAAAATTAATTAGCGTAAGATTTAAAAATTAAGTTACTTATAACAAAAATATAATTATTTTGATAGAAAATGAATTTCATTTAAACCACCAGTTTGAACCATACAATTTGAGTATTACTAAAGTTGAAAATTATTTTTTTATTTAAAATCACTAAGTAATATACTGGTTTTTAGTATTATAAATTAAAATTATAATAACTTTTTTGAAAATTTACAATTTTGTTAAACAAACCACCTCCAAACCGTCAAACCAAAAAAACATCCCTAGTCTTGATAATTCTTATATTTATATAGAGAAAGATTAAGAATCACTATATGACTAACAAAAAGATTCGAAATAAAAATGAAAATGTATACCAAATTGCCTGTTTGAGGGGAACACTAAAGCCGGGTAGTGCAATTCGGATCGAGTCAATTCAGATATGATCTGTGTTGATTTGATCCGGATTGGCAAGTCATGTCATATGCGAAAGAAAAAATTTTGTTTATTAAAAGATGCAAACATATTAATAAACATTATTTATTGCAAGGCAGCATTGCTTTTTTTAAGGAAGAAGGAAAAGGCGAAGGGGAACTAAGATTATTAAGAATATGTTTTTAATATCAAATATAAGTTATAAGTATTATAATAACTCATCATTTCTAATATTATATACTCTTTATTTTATTTCTTTATCATATACTCATTTTATTTTTTTAATATATATACTTAAAATTTCTATAATTTTTTATTTGTTTTTTTTCTAATTCAATTTGTCAACTTTCTTATTTTATCACTTTATATTTATTCTTATTTTATCACTTTATATTTATTCTTATTTTATAATATATTCATCATAATTTCTATATTTATTATATTATAAGTAATTAATCAAAAATATATAAAGCTATTCAATATTAATATGCTATTTAAGATCTCAGAAAAAGAATTTCATGAGACTTATAGCTATTTATTTCTAATATATAGAATAATACAATAGTTAGAAGTAATTTTTAAATTATCTATATTTATTATTTTGCAAAGTATAATAAATCAAACATATATAAAGAAGATATTTCTATAAGAAAAATAAGTAAGCACAATTCTGATAAATATAATACAAAAATTAAGATAATATACATTATTATTTTTTAAGTAGTTAAAATTTAATATTTTAAAAAGATATTAAATTATATATATTATTATAATATAGATTTTTCATATATATTTTATTAATATTAATTATTTCATATTTATATTTTTATTGAATAATTATTTAATTATATTTTATTAGATAATAATTAAAATAATATTATTAAAAAATATTTTTAGATGATTTTATAAATATAATAATTATAATAAAATTATCATAATAAAGTTAATAAATTATTATAATAAAATAAGTAATATTATCATAATAAAATTAGTATTATAATACTAGTAAAACTAATATTTAGATTATAACAAAAATATTATTTATAAAATTTCTAAAATATATAAAAATAATGTATCTTATAAAGAAAAATTAAATAAAATAAAGAATAATAAAATAAAATAATAATTTAAATATAATAATATTATAA